AGATACCAAGCCCTTCTTCGTTCCTATGTGGGTTCCGTTACCCACAATCTGTGGTCGCGGGCTTTGCCTTGTATTTTTAAGAGTAGGCTATCCATTAGGTGGATCGACACATCGATAGGAAGCGAAATGCCCCCTCCCCCACCCGTCATCGAACTGCGCCGAAATTAGAACTGACGCATTGACACGTTCAGAGCGAAAAACAGACTAATACGGTAAAGAAAGCGATTGCACCTGCATGAAGCTCCATTTAGCTTGAGCTTGGTGAGACATTTGCCGAGTAGATCCGCTTCAATCATCAAACGATGCGTAGGACCGTATTTGTGGCCTCTCATTCGGAACGTTCGCGTCAAATTGCATTGGTTCGCCGTCATTGCGAGTGGAGAGCTGTAAGTTTTATCTATTGTAAAAAAAGTGGAAAAAATTTGTGCAGTCATTCTTATTATTTATATTCTCTCTGCGTTGACAAAGGTTGTCCTTTAAATGGTTTGGTCAAAACTGTCAGTTATGGCTCAGTACTAATGGCAGGTGAATAACACTAGAAGAAAAATGCCGAAAAAAAACCACCGCGGAATGTTTCATCCACCATGCTGAACTGCATTTGCATGTGCATAAGGCGAAAGAAAAAACCAAACGAGTTCTCTTTCACTCTCCCCTTTATCACTCCACTCTAACTATTCGAAATGAAGAGAGCTAGTAGTGGAACAGCCGCGCCACAGGAAGCCTTTAGAAATGAAAGATGGGCATTGCCATGGCTAGTAGGCGGACTGTGGCTTCGTCGGCGAGCGGGTCTCGCATTTTGACCCGCGAAACTAGCACACAACCTTGGTTGTGGCGATTTTTGTCGAGTCTAATGTGAACGCTCTTTGGGAATGGTACGACCACCCCATTCGCCCTCGGGGGGGGGGCAGAGGGGTATAATAGTACGCATGTATAACAGGAAAACCACAAAAAGTCAAAACCACCGGCTCCTACAACGTCAAAAAACATAAGCGCGACGCTCGCCCCCCCCTCCAACAATGACATGATGCAGGGCAGGGCACAGCATTCGATGGGGATTTTGGTCGAGCCTGTACGACCCCCCCCCTTTTTTTGGGGGTTCGGTACGACCCCCCCTTTTTTGCCGTTCGGTTTTTTTCGCCTTAAATGAAACTATGAAACGCCCACTATGAAATTCTACTTGTATGAAGGTGCCCATACTAAATGGACGACTTGAAGTCATGACATAATAGAACAATACAGAGATGATTGCAAACAAAAAAGGGGGGGCGTGAACGGTACAATCGTATATGAAAACTCGTATGATTTAACTTCTTCGAATGTCGCGTTTTGACAACAGATATGGTAATAATAACAATATATCGCGATTAAATCCAATGAGCATTCGTTAACCTGAGGTGGACTCCCTCTCTGGGAGCGGCCATCAGCGACCACAGTGTTAACAACGTCTATTCCCAAGATTGAGACGAGGAAAAGAGAAAGTTAGGCTTGTCTCACTACGTAACAGTTATACAAACCGCCGTAAAAATGCATTACCCCGATTATTGGAGTACGGTAGCAGAAGCGCATGTAATTGCGGCTGTGACAGGAGATTATTCGGCAATTTTAGCCATGGAGCGAGAATTTCCAGCTGAGTTAGGTGTCTTTAAAGGACCATAACTTCCCTCAAAAGCGGACCTGTGGGAAGAGGAGACCGTACTCGTGTAGAGGAAGGTTTGCACTTCCTAAAAGTACTAAAACGTTTATGAACGTCGCAAAAATCACAGAGAAATCTGCCATAGGGATTCGTTGGGGAGTGGTTTCAACCGAACAGGTTTGAATCAATATATTTTTTTTGTAACTCAACATTTCACAAATCTGAGAACGGTTTCGAGTGTTTGAAGATTTTCTCTTTCTAAAAACCTCTTGAACTGTTTCTGAAGCTCTCGGGATTCATGAGATCTCGCTATGGGGATTTCTTGAGGAACACTCCCAGCTGCGCGAAAAACCCGTTTCCTGTGTACCGTTTCAAGTGAGCGTGTTCGAATAGCCAGGAACGCATGTAGAACGTATCCTGTGGTGGAGCAGGAGCAGGATATGGTTCGTTTAGCGCCGATCACGTCAACTTTGGATGCGCCGCGCACTGAGGGCCGCGCAGAGGTGATGGGATGGTGCAACTTGTGCGTAATGTCTGTCCACGCGAGCAAATGTGTCTATAAGGTTCAGGGAGGTCCATGGCGAGCCTGTGCACTTGTTTACAGTGTTTTCCGTTGCGTATGATGGAACATGTCCCTGTCAACGCTGCCAGATTCGTGCTCCGCCAATCGCTGACTCCGATAAAGGAGACCAACTGCTGGAAAACGTCTGATATGAACGATATGGTAGTCCTGTCGCTTGTCGAGAAAAAAACAGGTTGGCTCAGCGCCAAGCGCGACCGCGGACACGCCATATCATTGGCAGCGAACCAGAGTTTGAGTTGTACTGTTTAGTCACCAACGGACTTACGAGATAATGTCGACTTATTAATATTTGCAGTTATTTCGGATTAGTTTGATGAATGAAAGTTTTGTACTATTTTTTTGCATATCCGAGTTCTCTACAAAGCAAGTTTCGTTGTACAGGACTCAGCACATTGACAATTTGCGCTGCTCGTTACTGGCTGCCGCACTCACTACGACCCCCCCCCCTCTCCTGGCGGCCAAATACGACCCCCTGTTGGGGATTCCCCGACAAGGTGTGCCCTGCCGCGGAAGTAATACATGCTCGCGGGCAGTATTACCACATCCAAGGAAGGCGTCTGAACATTGAATGAATATATTATATATGCGTGCTAATTTTAGGACGCACTCATACGTCGGGTGAAAATGTTAACGAAATCGGCATTTTTAGAAATGCGTGTGCCACACCCAACTGGAGTGAAAAGGGTAGTGTATCTTCGAGTAAGTGTACTTCGCGTTACACGATTTTAGAAGCTAAAATACAGACACTTTCTCTTCAAACTAACGGACGCTCCCGAACCGGAACCATGTAGCAGCAAACGACCCTACACAAGGCGCGCTTCTGCGGTGGCACACAGAATCGACTCCAGCATGGACTAGTAGCCAGGCCTTCCCCACTCCAGATTGGACTACCGGGAAAAGAAAGTGTTTAGTTCATTTCTTCTTCCCCCTTCCCTCACACGTTAGCTAGGCCAGCTCGCATTAGGAGTGGTACTTCGATCCCCAGCATAGGAGCGTGGTCCATTCCATGACGGGAAGGTCATGATGAAGGCATTATCCTTTAACCCCTTATAGATGGCACATTCGGCGATTGAGTGACGAACTGTATGGCAAATAACCAAAACAACTTGCTGCTCTCTACTTGTGAAAGAAGGGCCCAACTCACTGAGCTCTTGCTGTTCTCATATTAGGCATCTCGAGTAAGCTGTCGAGTGTCTAACGCTGCACAGTCGTTCGACCTAGCATTTTAGCAGAGTGCATTGGACTTTTTGCGTGCAGTGATCAAATTTTCATGTGACTCACCTCATTTCCAGGTCCCCACTTCACTGATGTGAATCTTTTCCCTGAAAGAGAATCCAGCAATATTGGATAGCTGGACAGTCAGAGGTAGTAAAAATTTTGAAAGAATAGAACAAGGCTTTCCACTTGAAGGCAAAGTCGAATAAACGAGAGGAACAGCTTCCACGCTGGGTGAAGTGGTAATGCAGCCGTAGAGGTCTAGTTCTTAAGCTTGGAAGTGTTTGGTCCCTCGTAAAGTTTCTTCTGTAATGGGCACAAGAAAGACCCTTTGGACGCCAATTCCGATAGTCTTTAACTGGGCGCAAAGATTCGACATAGCAGGACTTCAGTGACAAGCATAGGGGAAACAACATTGGCCAGGTGACAGGAAGCGAAGGATCCTCTCAACTTCGAAGTGCTTCTTGTGGGCGAACTGGGCATAATGAGATAGGCGAAAGCTTTCTGGCAGCCCAAAAATAAGGTCCATTGGCTATAGTAGACGATTTTTGGTACACGGGCAAATCACTATCCTTATGGCAGGTAACCCAGTTCTGCGCACGAAATGTACCTTAAAGGCCCGTTGACACGATAAATTCCCAAGGCGACTAAGGATCCCTATCTGGCAGGATAGAAATTCCCGCGACCGCTGGGCATGCGCTGTCATATGTGGCTTCCCCCGAGGAAGGTGCCTTATACTGGCCGCCCCCTATCAAGGCTAACAACTTTACGTCGCCAAACGCCTCGCCACGCCCTCCGCAAATGGACGACCGTTCCTGACGCTCGTATTCATTCATTTGCTAAGCAAATTATGAAGCGAAGGGATTGGTATGAAGCGGCCGTGATGCTGCATGCATACATGGGTACAAATATGCAGCTGTATCTTCGGTAGCGGTGAGTGGTAAGATGCCAATGGAAACTAATCTGAAATCGACATTCACATCACTAGAGAACGTAGGCTTTTTTCTTCGCCCCAGGATTTTGACCGTTTCACTCCGTTCTTTTCCGCTTATTTCCCACTATAAAGGCACCCTGCTAGTATTATAGAAGTAGAAAAGCCATCGTGCCTACTTGCCTTCAACTCCCACGCCCGCATCACCCCACTGCCCCGCCCTAACCAAGGACCCCAGGCTACTAGCGCTGAACCTCTGAAACAGCTAGAGGCTAATGTCAACGAATTTGATATGAAATCAGACCCAGCCCATAGTTTTCGCGACATTTTTCCAAATAAATAGAGAGTAAGGCTCATCCAGAGTTTTAAATAAATTCGGTGGTAATTTTCCTGTTCTGTGAGCTACTCACATCCTAACAGCCCCCTTTTTGAGAGGAGTAACCCTCATACACAGGTTTTTGTGGAGTGCAACGCTTTGAAAGACGGTCGACAGTTATCTATAAACTGACTCGCAGCGTACAAAATTGAAAAAAGTGCAGACATACTGGTCAGAAATCAGGCGTGTGCAATCGAGGATCGGTTTTTGGACTGGTAAGCATATCAGCTGTAAGAGATTATAATAAAAATCATAACAAGTCCTAATGTTGAATATTACCGAGATCACAGGATTGCTTCGAGCTGGAACGTCTGGACGGACATCTTGCCGTGAGCAGATCAGCGCTAAAATAAGGGCAACGGTTTGGTCTTCTAATGAAAAACGTGAAAATGTCTGACTTCATCACAGTCTTTTTTCCATGCAGTCTTTCGTCTGAGGAGGCTTTTCATTTGCTCACCGTATTACGATTGTACTTCCACATAATTCCACCGAAGGCGCTAATGTCGTGGCAAGTATCGCGCGTGGTTCGGAAGTCAAATTACGGATCAGTTAATGCGCAAGCGGACCCAGCTCTCCATTCTCACGGGCCCCAGTAACTGAAAACGATTTTGTTTGGGAGGCTTAAAAAACAACTGAGGGCCATACTATCAGGTCGATCCCGGAGTTTGTTCTTGTATTGAACCACGTCACATTCAAATAGCCGCTTCCCCGACTTTGTATTGGACCTACACATACCGAAAAGGGTTTGAGCGACGGGTAATGGATAGTTTTTTCTTCGCGTTCGATACCGAAGAAATGATTGGAGCATCGATTCGTGACGTCCGGTGGATGTGTTTTCCACATATCTGACGGCCTGGGAAACCCGAGGTACGACGAAACGGCACGCAGATGGTATCGCATATCCGACACCAGTCGACCCTTGCTCTTCAGTCGACGTTGAAAGACATTGGTAATGTGATCAACTGCCTTTCTCGGTGGTCCTTTGAAAAAAGTCTTTGGCACCTCGACAGACACATATATGTGTTCCCAAATTCCTCTGTACAAGTGCATGTCCTTGAGAAGCCATCTTTCAGAAAGGAAACACTTCAAAGAACTTCGAAAGTGTGGAACTAATATGTTGCCGATGGGCTGGTCGCTGGCTGATTACTCAATGAAGCTCCTCCCTTTGAAGACTTTCCATTTTCTATTTCATGAAGTTCTCAAACTACTTGTACAACTGATGGTGTAAACAGTGTTGTCGGCTTGTGGTTAATGCTGGCAAGCTCGGAAGGTTGGGGGAGAGGGGGGGGGGAGCGGGCACGTGTTTAGGAGACGTTCAGGATATTCGAGGCTCGGTACTACTCATAAACCAGCATAAAATTTCCTGGCTAGCTGACTTAAGGTGCTGCACCTATTGGGACGCTTCTTGGAAACGATCCAACTTGCAGCGCCTCTATTGCCACCCTCGCTGCGTCGCGACGTGCTGAACTATACCCGTTCCACTCTGCTGCTCTGGTCAGTACGCTCTTCTGAGCCTAAACGTCGGCACGAGGATCCCTCGACCAAAACTCGGTATTTTCTTGCTGAAGTAGACAGTGCACTTTCAAATAGGCATGAAGGATATCATGGCATAGAAAAAGTGGCAGTACATAAGTGTGATTTATTCAGATAGCTCACAGACCTGTGGTCATGTCCTGGTTGTGCACATGGTCTCTGCAAAAGGTCAAATACATCACTCGTTGAGTAATAATAAGACAGAGATCATTTCAAGAAAAATCCCTTCCGAAGTAAACCGAACAAATTCCCTCTCCATACGTATCGTACGTATATGCTGCAGAACCCTCGTCATCCGGGCAGTTGATTAGGGCGGTCGTCAACGGGCCGCAGCGCGTGCCAGGAACTATTTGCTTTTTCCAGGCTAATTTAGTCATTTTTCCAACTTTTCACTGTTTTGGCTACTTTTTCCCAGATTAGCAGCTCCTTATCTTCACAAGGTGGAAAAATGACTAAATTAGCCTGGAAAAGCAAATAGTTCCTGGCACGCGCTGCGGCCCGTTGACGACCGCCCTAATCAACTGCCCGGATGACGAGGTTATGCTGCATAAAGTAGAGGTGCAGTAGCGGTTAAGTGTTTGTAACTTTTTCTTTTTTCCTAGTGCTATCTACGTAATCAAAATTTATACAGTAAACTATAGCTATGATTGGGTAAGAACATGTTTCTTAGCATCATTCTTTTCTCTATGCTATCGGTACTCTCGGCATAATAATGATGAACGAGTTATCACTTATGGTTAGCTATCGCATCAAAAGTTCGGAAACTTCTTGTTTCCTATATCATGTGGATTTCTTATTGCCATGATGTGCGCATGTTTGTCATTTTTCAGCTCGATCACTAAATTCCATGTTGCTTCCAGATGAGATACGGCGATGTCTCCCATCAGCTACAGAGGAGGATACAGGAGCTGCAAGGAAATAGGAAAAATTTCTTCTTAGCACTGAATGAAGCGTTCTTATAGGCCTGGGTAACACAATAAGGTTTGCTCGTTCACGCGTCATGGCCTTCAGAATTGGCTGAGGCATCGGTTCGCTGGAAGATATTCAGTTGTAGGCTCCTTCAGCTTTCAAAAACGAGAATACAACTGGCTGTCGCCCTTCAGCCTCTCGCGCGATCTAAAGAAGACTGCTGAGTTCAGCGGTAGGTTGGGTCTGTTACTTTTCAGAGCTGGCTGCGTATCTGACCACAGAGGTTCAGCCCTTTGGCAGCTTGAAAGTGTACCGCAAGGGCGCTGTACGCATACGACATAAGCCCGTGCAGACGCGAAAATTCGCATAAGGACTGAGGGTGAAGGGTTTCTTGTAGAACTGTATCTTGTGCTTTCTTTCCTAATCCAACTAACAGATCCTTTTGTTTTGGAACCCGCTTCCTGAGGTGTAATTTACAGAATTCAAGACTTACGTCGTAATGAAGTGCTCCAGGAACGCCTATAGATACTCCTCTGCCTTCACTGAAATCTGCTCTCAATTAATAAATGTCAAGGAATGATAGGACAATTACTTAGATGTGCTTTGGACAATTTCTTAGATATGCTTTGACTTATTGACTTTCAATGTGCTATAAGTGAGTAATGGCTGACCTGTGTTCAAGCAACCTCTCTTTGATCCCCCTTCCAGTCCACCTAACCAGTCACTATATTCTTACTGGAGTAACCACGCTCCTACTCCACTTCCTTACTCCAATCCCACGTCCACATTTCTTCTCTCGAAAACGTATTCCCTGAGCAAACTGATGCTGTCTTTACCACTTGCTCCACCGTATTTTACCCAGGGAATGTAATTGTCAAATAAAACTTTGATATCTAGGAGTTATGGTCAGTACAGGAGAAATGGGAATCTGAAAATTAACTCACTTGCCCCGAAGTTCTTAAAAAGGGCCAACAATCCGAATTTTAGTGAAGTTTCACCACTGAAGTCCCGAACAACGGCTTATTCTGAGCGCTACCAAGAAAAGCCCAGGCGCTTCCATCATTTCAATTTCAGGGCGATCATTTTTTTAATATGGTGTCTCCATGTCCCTGCCGCTTTTCGATACTAACATTCTCTCCGTCCTTTAACCAGAAAAAGGTCAGGCGTTCTCGCCTAACCTTTTTCTGGTTGAAAATCCATACAGAACTCACCTACCCACGAATGAAGTTGATGAACACGTTCTTAGCATTCACAATTGTGACGCCTTTCCCAGCACTTGGAATCTTCGAGTTGGTCAAGTCTCCTATCTGAATATCTTTTGGTGGACACCTGAAAGCTGCAATATCTGAACCAGATGCAGCTCTGGGGTTCTTCTCCTCCGGATTCTGACGAGCCCCTTGAGTCTTCGACGGGGACTCCTTGCCTCCTTGCTTTTTATGACGTTTGGATGAGCTGCAAATTTGCTCGTTAATCGACACACTGGATACATTTTGAGATACTCTAAGAAGGAAACTAACTCGAGTACTTTACTGTCCTACTATAATCTTGCTGTTGCAACTATATCAAAGGATACACCACCGCAGATATTCAGGTGGGCGCAGGGTACAGCATCGTTATGTCAAACCACATGGGAGGGGGGCGTCGTACTTTTGCTCTTGGGGCAGGGGCGGTCGTGCTGGGACCTCTTTCAAAGGGGGGGGGGTCGTACTCACATCGACATTTTCGCCACATATCCATGCTGTACTCTTGTGTGTGTTCTCTGTTCTCGGCGAAAACTGATGTTAGTCGTCCCCCTCCATATCAGTGTTTCTCCCTCTCACATCGGTAATGATGGAGGCTCGGATGGGAGGGGGGGGTCGGATCAAAGCAAGGCACAGTTTCTGTGTCGTGGAATGTGTACTCAAATGCAGAAAGCACGATGAATTTGCGCTGCATAACACCTGGTAAGACGCACAGCAGAAAGAGAAACTACGTGCCTGAGCAGGCTATTTGTAGAGTTTTGCACGCTACTCCCACGGGAAGCTCTTTCAAGGGGACAAAATAACCCTACAAATCATGTCCACCTCCACCGGATGGTCTCTCTGAGCATTAATAGCAGCCACATCGACGCTCATACCCATACTGCTTCATTCATGAAAAGCACTGAAAATTGGATGTCTGCTGATCCCTACAAGGAAAGGATAAAGTCTTCGCCGTTGATCAATCCCTTTGTGGGATGCGGCACGCATTCTACTTCCATTCAGAATCGTAGTGGCTTATTGAATGCGATGTGGCCTATACAATGACTTGCGGGGGCCAGCCGATGTACAAGTCAGTGTTTTATCCTCCCAGACGAATCTGGTACCAATTTACCGTCCCCGGAGGGTAGAAGGCTTGGTTGGCCTGGGCGGGAGTCGACCCGGGATTTGAACCCAGGACCGCGCGAGTGGTGAGCGCGCCACTTGTCACTACATTTATCACCAGGGCACATCGTTGTTGGGGAATCCCCA